TACACACACATGCACGCATACACGCAGGCGCGCATGCACACACACGCACGCATGCACGCACATACGCATGCACACACACACACACACACACACACACACACACACACACACACACACACACACACACGCGCACACACACACACACACACACACACACATAAATAGCATATTTATAATGACTGAGCAGAATGTGATTAACGTTATCATGAAACGCCAGATAAAAAGCAAATCAGCAGAGTATGAACGGCATACAATTACAGATTCACAGCGGGTCTGCCGCTGGACATACCGGGTGTTAGTGGCCGTCGTGAGTTCCCTCCGGAATGGTCACGATAACCTTTTTCTATTTTTTACTGTAGGTCTCACTAAGATATAAAACCTCAAGGTCTTTGCATATCTAAAACGACCAATTATCTAATGGCAGGGAAGCCAGAAAATAGCACACCCTTCGCTCCATTTTCTTCACAGGATTTCTTTGTTGCGCGGCAACCCATACAACATGTGACATCATTGTCATGCTATGTTGCCACCGCACCTCCATGACCTTTGGAAGGAAATTCGGCCGGCTATTGGGCAACAATATACCCGATGAACTGGACTCAACTGTCAACAGCATGTACCGTAAAATCCTGCCAGAGCGCCCCGTCTCTCCCCTCCGCCCCCCCCCCCCCCCCCCCTGACTTCTTGTCAGGGACGTGATTGATTGTATCATCGTATGACTCTGTCGCAGTCTGTGATGCCGTACTGTACTGCAGACGCGTGCTCAACCCCGTTGGAAATGTACGCAACAGTGCCCACCCTCTTGACCAGAGATCGCACAAACCCTGCGTTTTGCCGGGTCTGTACGACTCCTGGCTCTTGACCTTTGGTCGGTGTACGAGATGCACGAACAGTTTTCGTAGAGTGAGTACTTTTTCATGTAGCACTGAATGCGGCAAGTAGGACTCGCCCATCCGCCCCTCCCCACCTGAAGCGTCGAGGAGGTAGGGGCGCTCTGGCGGGATTTTACGGTATATGCAGAGCACCATAGGCAAGGCCCAGTAGCGCTGAATGGGTTTATGTTCCAGAACGCGCCAGAACCCTTATTGGCCGCTTATACCGTTCGTACTAATGTTCCGAATGTTCTAGGATTCTGTCGGCAACCGGTTTTCGCTTTATGCTGATTGGTTAATGACGTAAAACATAGCTGCCGGTTGCTGAGTTTGTTCCCTTGCTTTCTTCTTGCTTGTTGTCTTTTATTCCCTGTACTTTCCGAGTACGTATGTAAGATTGCTCCCGTGACAGTTATTGGGAAGTTGACCAAGTGTGTCCTTGAGTGTGACTGCCTCCGGGACCAGCTACTACATTGGTGGCAGAGGTGGGATTCGAAGCCACGCCTCCGGAGAGACTCCGGATTTCTCTCTGCAGCCAAATGACACGAAGGTATTGTGATCTTTATCCACAATGTATTGAGACGGGGGATGCCCGCCCTATTAAAGGGGAAGTTAAGGCAAAAATCAAAATTTCACCAGTTGTAGTCTTCGGGGTGCTGAGTCGAATGGTCGTGGTCCGAGGAAGCTGAGACGCTCCCTTCCTACTTGAATCCCAATCGAACTCGCGCACTTCCACCGAAACTGGGTGACTGCGCCCTACTAGATGGGGATTTGTATGCAAAATGTCACTAAAAGCGCCATTTCGTTCTTATAAAAGCATGGATGACCGCGATTGGCCCATATGTTGTAGTCATTTGGACGCTGAGTCGATTGGTTTTGGTCCGAAAAGGCTGCGATGCAGCGTTCCTCCTTTATTCCCAATCGAACATGGTTGAACAAGCGGTCACGTGCTCCTGCGTACGCCAGTCAGCTGGTCACCGTACCTGCAGGGTACAACTTACTAGCCTGTTTGACCTTTTTTGGGTGCAATCCTGTCACTCGAGTTGAACCTTGGTGTGAAAGTTCTCGCCTGCTGGCGTGGTGACCAGGTGATTTGGGCACCCAGGAGCACGTGACCGCTTCTTCAACCATGTTCGATTGGGAATAAAGGAGGAACGCTGCATCGCAGCCTTTTCGGACCAAAACCAGTCGACTCAGCGTCCAAAAGACTACAACATATGGGCCAATCGCGGTCATACGTGCTTTTATAAGAACGAAATGGCGCTTTTAGTGACATTTTGCATACAAATCCCCATCTAGTAGGGCGCAGTCACCCAGTTTCGGTGGAAGTACGCGAGTTCGATTGGGATTCAAGTAGGAAGGGAGCGTCTCAGCTTCCTCGGACCACGACCATTCGACTCAGCACCCCGAAGACTACAACTGGTGAAATTTTGATTTTTGCCTTAACTTCCCCTTTAAGCAGTCCGCTCGGCGATTCCCGTTCCACACTCGTGATGCTTTACAGAGTTAACTAGATGAACTCCTTGAGCGGAGAATTATATCTGAATCATCTAGTCCAGGGCTGCCCCTGTTGTTCTTGTTAAAAAGCTGGATGGCTCCTTTCGTCTCTGTATTGACGGCAGTAAACT